CCTATAACTAAAACGGGGCAGTCTCGGGGCATCTGAGGCAGCAACCTAAATCTGGCATGCAACGCCTCAGCTGCCTGCACCCGCATATAGGGCCCAGTAGCCAGGGTGAACTGGAGTACGTACAGACAACACACGTCGCACGACTCCAGGGCAAAACAATCACCAACCCAACAGGCAGCATGGCGGAGGCAAAACCGGTGAGTGTCCCCCTGAGACAAGGGAACAGAGCAACCTTCAAACTCTCAAGATGCGAGGGGAGGACTCAGGGGTCACATCCATTGGACCATGTAGCCCCTGTGGAGTTTCCCAGGGCCCTTAGCCTTGAATACACGCTAAGGGAAGCCCAGGCAGGGTACTGCGAACCGGTGCGCAATCTACCAACAAAACTTCTATAGCTGAACCCCCTGGACGTGTAAACTCATGGGGGCCAAGGCGGGGTTGGATCAACAAAACTTCTATATCTGAACCCCCTGGACGTGTACACTCATGGGGGCCAAGGCGGGGTTGGACCACCAAAACAAGGTAGATGGATACAATAACCCCAAGAACAGAGAAGGGAGACATAAGGGCAGACCCCCCCCCCCCACCAGGCGGAAAACAAAAACAAAAGAAAAACCCCGCAAGAGGACAACGTACCAAGGTGGAACAGAGCCGGCCGCTGTTATTGGAGAAAACTAGCTGTGCAGTACCCTGCGCCCCTGCCAGTGACGAAAACTACCCCTACCCAGAGACAAACAAGGGCAAGAAAAAACCCCAGCTGACCCCATGGCTGGCGAAATACCGAGCAGTAAACAGCACAGCGGAGGTAGATCACGAGGCAACTTGTGGAAGGTGGCCCCAAGCCCCAAGGGCAGTACTTACAGGGCACCTAGGGAAGGAAACCCTAGGCACATGCAGCCTGAGTACCATAGAGTATCACTCCTGGCCCAGCGCATCACCGGAAGGAACAGCTCACACCACAAGGCACAGAACTGTAACAAAACACGGAAGCCAGAGGCACAACCACACCAGACTCCCATCAGCCAAGAACTGAAGGGTGGATCGCCGGTAGTTAAGTCTGGGGCTGACCCTTCCCCCTCCTGGGAAGGGGAGTTGCGCAGAAAGTGGCGCAGCAACGTGATGACGTCATGCTCGTTTGCTAGTTTTCGTTTGGGGAGTTCTGTCCACTAGTTCGTTCAATCGCAATAATTTTACCAGACTAGGGGTTTGTTTTGGTGCTCCTACCTTTCTGGGTGTCTATCCCGGTCGATGGCAGACATAGAATGCTCCCAATAATAAAAGGGGGGTCTCTATAGGCCATTGCTCCTCGTGCCTCTCTAGAGGGGGCCAGGTTCTGGGTCGTGGTTCCCGGTAGGCAAGAACTCCATGCATTGACTGATGCCAAAAAGTCATACATATCCAATCAGCCTGGATAGCTCCCGGGAGCCAACGGGGCTTCCCCCAGAAAATAGTAGTAATAATAATTGATTGATTGACAGTCGAGAGGCAGGCCAAAAGAGCAGAGCTCAACCCCTGCAAGCACAATTAGGTGAATACACTGCAAGATGACCCGACATAGTGCAGGGAAAGAAGCCTGCCCTGCGAGACCCGAACCAGCTGCCCAATGCCACCACAGGCTGGAGGATACAACCCAAAACACTCACAAATAGTCGGACCAAGCGTGAGCAAACAGTGTGAGCCTCCCCCCCTATCGCCCCCATCAACGGGGCAAACCGCAAAAGGGCCGACACCCCTTACGAGAAGTTGGCTGACAAATGGAGCGATCATTGCACCAACCAAACGACGCCAGCTCCGAAGGAAGCACCGCCTCAGAAGCTGGTACCAATGGCCCACCCCGACCAGAGGAACCCCAAGCCCTGGTAAGACCCTTCCGAGAAGGCCGAGAACGGCCACCCCGAAGAACCAACACGTCTGACATAGGACAACAACTAGATGAAGTTGCCTGCAGAAAGTGCGTGACAGCAGTCTCCACATACAGCAATAGACAAAACGGCGACGAAAACCTAAGAGCCAGGGCACAAGCGGATTCCAAAGAGAGTGAGCACAGCCTAATGGCACGTGAGGCAAGAAGCAAAGAATACACACACCACCACCTTGAGAATTGGCGCAAAAAGCTTCAACAGAGCGGCCGACACCCTAACCACAGGTCAGCATACCAGACGAAGGCCCGGCACAAAATGTCTTCACATCCTCCTCAAGCCAGTCCGAGGACAACTCGACAACTTGTGTTGGCTGCAAAAGGCCAACATTCCAAGGAAGCACAGGGGCGAACAAGCACACGTTAAAGTGCTCAAACTCGCCCCCCAGGTAAACCTGCAGGATGAATCCATCACAGAGGAAGAATGGGTCATGCAGGAGGTACACAGCAACTGCCTCCCAAACCTCTCTAGGTGCGAGAAACAGAGGAAGACCAAGGAACCCGAGGAACCCATGAGAACCGAACCCAGAGAGGAGCCGACCCCAACTCATACTCATACAGGGAAGGGGGCAAGAAAACCCCTCCCCCTGCAGCAACAAGACCGGCAAAGAAGCAAAGAAGACACCAAAACCCAAGCAGAGTCAAAGGGGGCCCAAAGCCCCCAGGTCAACTCCTACTCAGCCCTGGGATCCTCCAAACCAGGACCCAGGGTAGAGCAGTCCTTCATACCCACTACCCCTGAAGAAGACAGAATCCAGGAGTAAGGCAGAAAAGAAGGGGGACCTGCTGGTGGGACTTAGAAGCCTCGGCAGGAGGAATCAGCTCGAATGCCTCAGTCCCCAACCCGAATGGGGCAGCCTCTGAAGCTGTCAGTCTCTCATTGCCAACTAAACCCTGCCCCAACTCCAAAACCCTCAGACATTTAGGAGTTGGAAGCAGGGAGGGGGAGCAGGACCAGGAAGTGCGGACGGAACAAAAGTCGAGCCAATTAACGCCCCCCCAAGTCCAGGTCCCTATAACCAAAACGGGGCATCCGGGTGGGCAACCAACCTAGCCTACACACAGAAATCACAATTGCGTGATGCATCAAATGAACAAATCCACAAGGGCCATAACAAGGATTCGAACCTGCGTCACGGCGTCCAGGTTCGGGCCGTGACGCAGGTTCCATGTCGTAGCTCAGTCGATTAAGGCAGCGTCTGGGATGCTCTCGGACGCAGGTTGGAATCCTCATCACGGCCCTTGTGGATTTGTTCAACCTAGCCTAATGCAGCAACCTAAACATAGCATGCAATGCAGAAGCTTCACCCAGTCAATCATTTGTAGGTCTCTAATACAATCCACTTCAGCCTTTGTCAAGATTATCTTCCATGACACTGAATCAGGGAAAGACTTGGGCCTTCTGATTATTCTTCTGTTGTTGTCTTTTGGTTTACATATCTGCATGAACTGGTCACAGTTCATATTCTCTACATTTTTCATGTTATTCAGGTACTATACTCTGACTGTAGATTCCTGAATATCTATTGTTCTTAAATGTTCTGTAGGTGTGCTACCCAAATAATCCATATTTGTTTTTCTGGGCTCCTGCAATATACCCTCTAAATTCAATATTTCCAGTGTTTTGGCTCTGTCCCACTACTCTGGGTGCATCCACTGGAAGTTTTCAAATTTTTCCAAGTATATTTTCCAAGGCCCTATGCAGTTTCCCTATGATTTTAACTTGCTGGGTAACAACTACGTGGGCTTCTGGGTCAATTGAATTATGCCCTAATTTTTCAGATGGGTTTTCCAGTGTCCCAGGTACATGTCCCCAAGACTTGTTCCAGCTTTCCAAGAAAGACAGGCAAATACAGATGACAATTATTAGATTGCCACACAATAATCCTAGAGAAAACTACTTTCTGTGGCATGCCCTACTCACACAGAAGATGAAGTCTTTGTTTTAGCTCGTATTCATCTCGGTCAGTCAGTCATTAATAATGAATCAGGATCTACGGGTGTACTTTAGCAGTAATTGGTTTGAACCTGAACAAGACTTAAGGTTGTGATCGGACACATCTTGGAGCAGTACCCAAGATTCCTGGGTGGATGTTCTGGTTTCCAGGGGGTATTTCCTGAGGCTTTCTTCAAGCCACCTGGTATCTCCTGTTCACAAACATTTTGTAGATTCGTACTGTATCGGGTTCTTAATTTCTTCAGATGGGTACCCATGTACCCCAGTTGGGCTTCTTAGGCCAGTGGAGATTTTTCCCAGCTCTCCTGGAGCTAACTCCATTTCCCTGAGTATGTGCCTTGAGTTTTTGGGTTGTTTGTGGATAGTTTTGAGTTTTGTTTGATATCAATTCATACAAAACATTTCTCTTGTCAGCATTTAGAATTTGTTATGACCTTTTGTCTTTTCTAGCAGGGTTTACCCCTCAGTATAATTACAAGAGTACAGTATATGGCACCAATATACTGACGAGACGAGAACGCGACACTCAATGTCCCATCTTCCCAGCACTGTCATAACACTTTTAAACTACAGATAGTTATGGCCTCCACCACCAACTCACTTAACTTGTTCCAATCATCCAGCATCTTTTTTGCAAAAGTGAAGTGTGTGGGGTGTGTAAGACATGCTCAGCTTCCACACCTCCGAGGAACACAAGTCTTGTCCCTAGTCCGGGTAAATTCTTTAAAATTTTGATCGTTTTCTGACTAATTTTTGTATTTAATGTTCGAGTATACTTTTGTCAGAAATTTATGTAGCTTTTACGTAGTAATATTGTGCAACTATATATTTCACAAACTTGTTAAAATGCTCACACACAGTATATAATTATATTCATTACAGTACACTAGCATTAATAAAAATAATAATTTGCATTATATATTAGCATATGTCCAGTGTAAATTACTAACATGACTAAGCACATATACACAACCCATAGCAAGTTTAACAGCCCTGTGGATAGCAAAATTTTTCTCATGTCTCTTGTAAATATTACAAGAGATAGGGTAAGGGTCACAATTCTTCAAAAGTAAATGATGCAGCAACACTTACACAAGTTTGTAATTTAAGTAATAATGAACTTACTGATAATAAGCATGCTGGCTTGCCATGAGGACCCGAGCAAACATGGTGTGCACCTCGACTGGTGGGAGAAGTAACCGGCATGCTCCTGACAGTAACGCATACCCCTTCACTGCAAGACTCACTTGGGAGGTACTGTCGCTCTTTTCTAGTAACTGATTATATTCTTTCAGAAAATACTGTTGAAAAGAGAAAAAAAAAAGGGATAAATGTAATGAAATACCTCTTCCTGGTAAACTCCAGTTGCTTCCTGTAGAGCTCTGGACGAGATTGCTCCAATCTACCAGGTCACATATCAGTCGTGAGAGTTCTGCTTGGCCTACTGGGGACCAGAGCCAAAACCTTGTTTCCCCTCTCACAAAGACAGAGCACGGGACATTCTGCCACAGCAACAAGAAAGCATTCAGAAGGTTAGTTACCCTTAAAAATAACTGCAAGGTTCACAAGAACCAAAGCCTCAAAGATGCCAAACAACTCAAACAATTCAAACAAAACAATCGAATCGCTGAAAACTACCTCAAACCCTTAGTACCACCAAACCCCCACCAGGGGGGCCCAGAATCCCCCAGCCCTCTGTCAACTCTCCCAAATAAGTTCTGGAGCAGATAAACCCCACAAACTATAATGTCTATCTGAAAGAAAGGGTGTCAGTGAGCCACTGGAGCTCTACAGAAAGAGGCATTTCATTACATTCAATGCTGGTTTTCCGGAGGAGCCCCATAGTGGCTTTTTTTAAGTTAATTGAACTTGGAGAAGAAAATAAGGGACTTAGTATCTGTTGTCTCATCCTCCCTAATAAGGCAAAGTAGAGTCACCAGGACGAGAAACACGGCCCAAAGCAACACAAAGATGAGGCCCAAGGATGCTGACCAAATACCAAACTGCCATAACCCTGCACAACCATCAAAACCCTCATCCCTGAATAGCAACTTAGAATACTAGTATGTTAGAAAACACTGCCGTCAGTACAGTGTAAGTCAAGAACCATAGCCGTAAGAGCAGACCATAAGCTAGTTAAACTTAACATTTGAGACAATTTGAAAAATGTGATCCTTAGAACAAGGGACAAAGGAAATGGAATAATAACCCACAAAATGTTCACCGACGTTTTATCAATGGTATGAAGTTAGCAGCAAAGAGCTGCTACCGGACACAACGAATGCCATACTCCTGACCAGACCAACAAAGCATCACCATAGGACCCCACCAGAATCCCACCAACCTGTTCTCCAGCAAAATAAAAGAGGAAACAGCTGCAGACAAAAACCACACTCACCAGGGCCATAAGAGCAAAATACTCACTATGAGAGAAGAGCATAAAGTTCTTCGACCTGACATCCAGAGGAGAGAGCCACCAGGAACACCGCCCTGAGAAAGATAACCCATACCTAAGGGGAACCGTAAATCCAAGAGAGGAGCCAGATAGTTAACATGCATGTGAAGCATATACCAAAAAGGAACAATACTCGAGCAAATTTGCCCAACAGGACAAAGTTCAAGGATAGCTGGCACTTAGCACAGAAGAACAGAGACCTGCCACTACCGATGTGACATTAGAGCAATACAATGAAGTTCAAAGCACCACATCAGCGACAGAATTGACTTGAGTTGGCAGAGGGCTGGGGTTCCGGGCCCCATAGTGGTGGTACTAAGGGTTCGAGTTAGTTTAGAGCGATTTTATCCTTTTGTTCTAAATGTTTCGGGAGGAGTTTTGCATTTTCGATGCTTCCATTCCTGTTAACCTTGAAGTGTGTGTAATACAGTGGGGCCTCGACTTATGATGGCAATCCATTCCCAGAGACGGATCGTAAGTCGAAATATCGTAAGTCGAAGAGATTTTTCCCGTAAGAAATAAAGGGATTTGAATTAATCCGTTCCCCACCCTCCAAAATATTAACTTACAAATACATTTTATACTGAATACAATGTTTTTTTCTAACTACAATACAGGACATAAGTTTATCTTACCTTTATGGAGGTTTCTTGATGGTGTATGGAAGATGGTGATGAGGGGGGAGGAGGAGAGGTGTTACTGTTTGGAAGGGGAGTCCCCTTCCATCATAACATCAGGCAGTGATGACTTTTCTGGGGTAAACTCTCTCTTACGTTTTGTCTGCATACCACTAGGACCTGGTTGTGATTCACTGCTTGTTTGTCTCACTAAAAACCTTTCCAGAGATTTTTGTTTTTCCATATGTTTTAATTTTTGTCTGTAGTGAGGCATCACAGTGTCATTAAAAAGGTTAAGGCAACGACCTACTGCACCGTGATTTGGGTGAGTTGTTTCAGCAAAAGTTTGCAATTCTTCCCATGCTGCACACGTTTTCTTAATTAATGAGGAAGGGACATTCTGTATTGTCTCCTCCTCCCCTGAAGAAATTTCCTCAGCTGTCTCTTGTTGCTGCTCCTTGTGAAGTTCTTCAGTGGTCAGTTCTTTGCTGTGTTCCTCCACCAGCTCGCAACATACAACACTCAGAACACTATGAATGCCACTTCTTTTTCTAAATTTCTCAAACCATCCCCTGCTCGCCTTATCTTGAGGTTATCTTGAGATGATTTCGGGGCTTTTTAGTGTCCCCACGGCCCGGTCCTCGACCAGGCCTCCACCCCCAGGAAGCAGCCCATGACAAATGACTAACACCCAGGTACCTACTTTACTGCTAGGTAACAGGGGCATAGGGTGAAAGAAACTCTGCCCATTGTTTCTCGCCGGCACCTGGGATCGAACCCAGGACCACAGGATCACAAGTCCAGTGTGCTGTCCGCTCGGACGACCGGCTCCCCTTAAACTCTTTCGCATTTGCATTACTCGTTCCAGGGGTTTTCTTTAAAAGGTCTTCATGCAATTTTCTTGCCTTTTCACAAATGATGGCCTCAAACTCTATCATAGATAGAGTTTCTCTATCTCAAACAACATAGAGCATATAGAGGTGTCTAGAGATGAAGTGGAAAATAAGCTGAAGGAGCTAATTAAGAACAAAGCAGTTGGTCCAGATGGAGTTTCACCATGGGTTCTGAGAGAATGTGAATCTGAGCTTAGCATTCCACTTCACCTGATCTTTCAGGCATCCCTGTGTACAGGAATCGTAGCAGACGTGTGGAAACAGGCCATCTTAGTTCCAACCTACAAAAGTGGCAGCAGGGAAGACCCCCTCAATAATAGACCTGTATCATTGACAAGTTAGTGAATGTATTGGAAAAACTAATCAAAACTAAATGGGTAGAACACCTGGAGAGAAATGATATAATATCAGACAGACAGTATTGTTTTCGATCTGGAAGATCCTGTGTATCGAATTTACTCAGTTTCTATGATCGAGCCACAGAGATTTTACAGGAAAGAGATGGTTGGGTTGCCTGCATCTATCTGGACCTATAACAGGCTTTCAACAGAGTTCCACATAAGAGGGTATTCTGGAAACTAGAAAATATTGGAGAGGTGACAGGTAAGCTTCTAAAATAAATGAAAAATGAAAAATTTTCTGACATAGAAAAATGAGGGCAGTAATCAGAGGCAATGTATCGGACTGGAGAAATATCACGAGTGGAGTACCACGGGGTTCAGTTCTTGTACCAGTGATGTTTATTGTCAACATAAATGATCTACCAGTTGGTATACAGAATTATATGAACATGTTTGCTGATGATGCTAAGATAATAGGAAGGATAAGAAACTTAGATGATTGCCAAGTCCTTCAAGATGACCTGGACAAAATAAGTATAAGGAGCACTACTTGGCAAATGGAATTTAATGTTAATAAATGCTATGTTATGGAATGTGGAAAAGGAGAACATAGACCACACACAACCTAGATATTATGTGAGAAATCTTTAAAGAATTCTGATAAAGAGAGAGATTTAGGGGTGGTTCTAGATAGAAAATTATCACCCGAGGACCACATAAGGAACGTTGTGCGAGGAGCCTATGCCAAACTTTTTAACTTCAGAATTGCTTTTAAATACATGGATGGGGATATACTAAAGAAATTGTTCATGACTTGCTAGGCCAAAGCTGGAATATGCAGAGGTTGTGTAGTGCCCATATCTTAAGAAGCACATCAACAAACTGGAAAAGGTGCAAAGACATGCTAATAAGTGTCTCCCAGAACAGAAGGGCAAGAGCTACGAGGAGAGGTTAGAGGCATTAAATATGCCAAAACTATTAGACAGAAGAAAAAGAGGTGATATGATCAATCACTACGTACAAAATAGTAACAGGAAATGATAAAATCAATAGGGAAGATTTCCTGAGACCTAGAACTTCAAGAGCAAGAGGTCATAGACTTAAACTAGCTAAACACAGATGCCGAAGAAATATAAGAAAATTCACTTTCACAGACAGAGTGGTAGACGGTTGGAGCAAGTTAAACGGGGGATGGTGGTGGAGGCCAAGACCGTGAGTAGTTTCAAAGCATTATATGACAAAGAGTGCTGGGAAGACGGGACACCACGAGCGTAGCTCTCATCCTGTAACTACACTTAGGTAATTACACACACATATGCACACACAGTGTACACATGTACATGTACATATGTGTACACACACATACACGTGAAAAGAAAAATACAAGCCGCTGACCAGTGGGCAGAGAGTACAACGCCGTCCAGGCGAAGATGGCACAAAACTACATCAAAAGGTCCACCTCGACGACAAAACCCAAGCCCCGGCATGACCACAACACGTGCCAAGATCCCCAAAAATCAGCCTGAAGGCCAGGAAGACCCAGGAACCCCAGAAGGCAGAACTGGGGCAGAACAGAAGTTTCCTCACACATGAGGAAACAAAACCCACTGAATCCACAAAGGGGGCACAAGAGGAAGAAACCTCCGGAACAAAACCAAAGAACCCAAAGGAACCCGGAATCGAACCCGGGGGGAGCCCAAACCACCACATTTGCCGGCAGAAATACATCACAGAGGCAAAGCACAGCCCCCAGACAGAACCCCCGGGGAAAGGGCCAAATCAGATCAAAAACCAAGGGACAAGGTGTGGGAGCAAGCATAGCAGTGACAGGGACACTGAGCCCAAACCTAGGACCCAGACAGAAAACAGAAAACCCGGTGTAAAACCCAACACCCAAACGTTCCCAGAAGAACAGAAGATGGGCAGAAAACACCAGAAAAACAAAGAAACAACAACAGAAGAATAAAACCCCTGAAAGAGGTGAAAAACTCACCCTAGATGCTGGCTCGCACACCCAGGCGCACGTAAACAAACTGCCGCGCCGCCCTGGTGGCCACGCCAGGAAACCGGCAGAAGAAAATGGCCACCAGAACAGGGTGCCGTAACCGACGCAAAAGATACGAAAACATGCCAGCAAAAGTGGGAAGCAAGAAGACTGGATGGGCAAAAAACTCCGCACATAAGCAGAAAACCCAGGCAGGGGCAAACAGCCCCAGAACTGCTAGCAGGCATCCCCCACAGCCCCGGGAACCCACAAATGAGGCCCTGGGGCAGAGCCGTCCTCCAAGCCCTTCGCCCTTAAAGAAAAGGAAGAGTCCATGGAAAAGGCAGCAAGAAAGGGCAGCTGGTAAGACCCAGAAGCCTTGGCAGGAGGAACAGGCTCAAAAACCTGTCCGAGAGGGAAACCAACCTAGCTCGTTGCAGCAACCTAACCTAGCTTGCAACACAGATGCCGCCTGTACTCCGAACAGTAATAACATCAGGAGAGTACTAGAGAACAAGCAGAGAATACCTCTCCGGGTCAAGGTATCAGTGACCCAACAGGCAACATGACGGAGGTAAAGTGGCGACTGTCACGCAGAGACAATGGAACAGAAACCAACGAACCCGCACAAGACGGGTTGGAACCCGGAAGACACATTCAATGGTCCACCGAGCCCCGACAGGGTTTTCCAGGGACCGTAGGGTAACAACTACGGGAAGCCCAGGCAAGGAGCTGCTAACCGGTTAAAACCCAAAACTAACAAGGGGGTAGAGGACAAAACTGAAAACCCCTGCAATGTGTACAATCACAGGGGCCTAGCAGAGTAGCAGAGGGCCAACAAACACTACCAGTGGAACTATAGCCACACTAGGCAGACCCCCACCAGGAAAATGAAAATAAAAAAAAAATAAAAATGCAAAAGTACACCGTCTCCAGAGGCAACAGGAACCGGTCGCTGCTTAGGTGGCAGGTCACGCAACACCTTGACACTCTAACCAGCACAATACCAGTCCCTACCCAACACCAAACAAGGGCCCCAAGCCCCAGTTGGCCCAAAGGGCGAGGCAAATGCAGAGGAGCAGCAAGAACCTCTACGGGAATGGTTCCTGAACTTCCCAGGGAAGATAACCCTGTCACGCAGGGGCAGTACTCATAGGGCACTTAAGGAAGGAAGCCCCTAAGCGCATGCAGCCCCGGTACTGACGAGGAACACGTGGCTACCGCACAACACTCGCAGTGAACGCCACGAAAGGCAAACACCGCCTAGGAAACCGAGGCCAGAGAAGCATCTGTCCCAGTTGACATTGGCTTACGAACTGATGCTAGGCAGCCGGCGTGGTGAGGTCCAGGAGTCCCCCCCCCTCCCCCTCTCGGGGCGAGGAGGGCTGCGCGGACAATCGGCGCGGCAGTAAAGTGTGATGCTTGCTCGTTTCCTTGGAATTGTAGGGAGATTCTACCTCTCTGTTCGTTTTTTTTTTATTTAGTTTCTTACCATGTGGGGTTTGTTTTGTTATGCCTACCTTTCTGGGTGCCTAACCCCGGTCGATAGCAGATAAGGAAAACCCCAACCACAAGGGGGTTTTCCAGGGCCATTGCTCCCTGAAACCTATCTGAAGAGGCCAGGTTCTGGCGCTGGTCCCTGGTAGGTCTAAACTCCTTAGCTAATGTCCCAGTCTAATATAACATACATTAGCCCGATAAGCTCCAGGGAGCCGTAGGGGCTCCCCAAAGAAAATTTAATTGTACTTACCAGTGATGTAAATGAGCCAACAATATGAGCGATGATGTCACACCCTGCATGCTCGCTCATGCAAGGTGCGTCCCAGAGCGGACGAGCGCAGTCTTCAAGCACCCAGAGTTACCACGAATTTATCTTCGCGGCATTATTTACAGTGTCTAGGCATATTTTATCAATTTTTGTTCACTAATTGTGTTGCATATAATGTTACTTGACGTTCAATGATAATTGAACTTGCATACATTGAGTATACACATGCGCACACAAATGTTTTCAATTACACCATATATAATATATATTCACATTTTTCGTTATTATATTTACACACATCCATTCACTATTTACAAGTTTTTGCAACATTATTGCACATAACCATTCCATGTGCATATTGCACATTCCATTATTGCACAATATCCTCATACTCTAAATAAGCACAGGAACTGTGTGGTCGTGGGGGTGGATTGGGATAGACACTGAACGAGGTGGCCCAGTGTGTGGATCGGGCCGCTGTTCTTGTGGTCAGGTATGGACCGGGCCGTGGGGACGTTGCTCCCCGGAATCTCCGCAAGATAATAAAGTGTCTGGTAATAAATAAAATAACCCAAACAAAGCCCTGCAAATAAGCAAGACACCTGCCCTTGCAACTCCCTCGGCCCGCACACAGTGGCAGGTTTGGCACCTCATGAAACCTAACAAGTCCCTAATCTTGATAAAGGTTAGGAGGGATAAAGAACAGGTAAGGGGGGAAAACAAAGTGGCATCCAGGAAGCTACTTCTCATAACATTTAACATTTTATTTTGGATAAATAGTCAAGAGACTTACAATAGAATGGAATTATCAGATTTTTCGTCATACCTTAAATATTTGTGTTCCTTTTTTTTTATCATCTCCAGCTTGAAGTTCCAACATATTTGCTATCACACAGACAAACGTGTCCATGGCAGGCAATGCAGCTTTATGGTCATCACGGTTTCTGGAGCCACACCACTTCATGAACCACGGAAACAAGGTATCATAATTACTGTACAGCTGAGTGGAAAATTTAGCTCCATGTGTGTGAACAAGTTCTAGGGCAGCTGAAACAAAAAATCATAAATATAAGCTACTGTATCAACACAAACAGTATCTTAATATAGGAAACCACCAACTTACATAATTTTAAAATGTGCATGTCAAGCTGCAAGATAATATTACTGTACAGTACTATCATCAAATAGGAAAAGACAGCAGGACTCAAGTTGTTATACAAAAACAATGAGGTTTAAGCCTTATATAGATGATTATAATAAATTCTTTTCACATTACAATACAGTACTGAAATGCTGCCGGAGCACTCTGTACATATAAACTTTTAAATGACTTTCAGAGCTATCACATTCAGTTGTTCCTTAGGGAATAATCCTCTCTCATTCCATTGGAAAGGATCATAGACAGTGAGGAGCAGATAGACATTCTACCCAGGCACAGCAGGGATTTTTTTTTCAAAATGTCCTGGTGTTCCGGGAACCCTGGAAAAATGCTCAAACCCTGCTTATAATGACTACTAAAAGATTAATTCAGTCAGTCAGTCACTCGAAGCCCTCTTAGTTATAAGCAACATCACTGATTGCATAGCGGCCCTGTTGCCAGTTACCCAACCAGGCTGCTTCCCCAGAATGTGACAGGGAGGCAGTACCAACAACAAAACATTCCTTCACTCAAATCCTTTCACATTCTTCCCAACTGCTTAAAATACCATCATGCAAACCAAAATTCAGTTAAGTGGAGAAGAATTATGCTGTTAGTTATCACTTCAAGTATACATCTATGAAAATTGTGTCTTCACTATCAACTATTGAACTTTCCCAAAGATACTTTCTGAGGGGAGCCCTGCCAGCTTCCTGAAAGTTATCAAACTGACATTTGCCATATTAGTTTGGCGCCATCAGTCCTTGGAGTTCGTGTGCCTACCAGGGAACAGAACCTGGCCCCATCAGAGAGGTGAAGGGAGCAATGGCCATATGAGCTCTCTATATATAGAGTTTGTCATGTCTGCCATCAATCTAGGAGAGCACCCGGAAAGGTAGGCGAACCATTACAAACCTCTAACTGGTGAAAATTGCAACCTACATCCAAACAGAGCCAAAGAACTCCCTCCAATAGAAAACAATGAAACAAGCAACAGGTCATCCAACTAATGCTCCCGCATGTTAGTGCCTCACCCATCCCCCAGTGGGGAACCCCCACTCAAGCGAACAAGCCGCACCACCCTCAGATCGTCAACTAATGTGTCAAGTGTCGGAGGTCCTCTCTAGCCTCAAGCTTTGTCTGGCTTCGCATTTGTGGCTTTGCTGGCTCTGTGTGTGGTGGTCAGGTGTTCCTTCTCTACTGGGCTGCATGCGCCTAAGGTTCCCTTTCCTAGATACCCAGCAAGTACTTCCCTTGCGATTCAGGGTTACATTCCCTGGGTCATTCGGATCTCACTCCCGTTTAAGGCCTTCAATGCTTGGTGGTGTTCTCACCCATGGGCTTCCTGTCTTGCCAGGGTAGGGAGTTGGTTTGTGCTGGGTGGGGTGCACTGCGGCCAGTGCAGCTTGCATTCAGCGGCAGCCAAGGTTTCTCTCTGGGGACTGGTTAGTCTGTGTGTGTTGCTTCAGGAGGCTTTTCCCCTGGACTCTACCTTTTCTTCAAGGGCTGGAAGGGTCTCGCAGGAGATACTCCTGCAAGACCCGGTTTACGCCTCATTGATGGATCCAGCTTTTTTTGAGTTCGGTTCTTCTTCCCACTATTGGGTGCATTATGAAGTTCCAGAGCCTTCCTGGCTGGCAAACTGCCCTTTCTTTTCCTTGGGAGTGTGATGTGGTTTTGCTGGACCCACATGCTTGAATGTTGCAGGGCTCCTCTTCGCCCCTGCACTTTCCCATGCTGTGGGACTTGAACAGATGCATGTTCAAATCCCCTCTCTTTCGACTGCCATGGTGGCGGGTGGCCATCAAACTCGGGGTCACTTGGCTTTGGTCTTGCTCTTCTTTGGCCTTCTCGAGCTGTCCTTGGATTGACTTTCAGAGGATGTGGAGGCGTTGAGTGGGGGGCCTTCGGCAGGGGTTCTTGTTTCAGCTACATAATTGAAGCTGTTAGCACCAGTACTTCAAGAAGCGGTTTCCATGTTTTTTGCCTCTCGCCTCTTGTGTCAAGCAAGCCGTCCTCGCTCTCTTTGGATTCTGCTTGGGCCCTGGCTTTGCAGTTCTCGTCTTCATTCTGTCCCCTGTTATTTCCAGAGGACTGTGTTACTCAGATTTTGTCGGTGGCTTCTACCAGTTGCTGTCCTGTTTCTGATTTGTTGGTACTCAGGGGGGGGAAGGGAGCCAGTGCATCCTCCGGAACCGGTGGTCTTTCTGGTCGGCTTCATGCGTGGGTGTCGGGTGGGTGTGGTGGGTGTGGTGGGTGTCGGGTGTCAGATGTCACCGCGCCGATCGTCCGCGCAGCCCTCCTCGCCCCGAGAGGGGGAGGAAGGGAGCCCCGGACCTCACCGTGCCGGCTGCCTAGCATCCGTTCGGAAGCTAAGCTTCAACCAATGCAAAGAAAAACGCCGACCGGTGGGAGGGAGGGTTGCCAGGAAGCCTCTGGGACTCACCCAGAAAATGGCGTTTCATTACCTTCAACGCTGGTTTTCTGTCAGGAGCCCCTTCGGCTCCCTGGAGCTTCATACCCAAAGAGAAGAAAAAGAAAGAGCTGACCCGGGAGGCGGCCTCCACAAACTCCGCAATGCGAAGCCGAGACAACAAGCTGTAACCTGCAACCCAAGGTAACACCACCACACAGGAGCAGACGCGCGCATAAAGGACGGGCGGCCAGGAACCTGTGCGACCCTCAAATCCTCGCGCCCGAAATGAGCCCTAGACGTTACCAACACAGCAGTGAAAGCGGCAAACGTCCGAACAGCACGGGCGCAAGGATAGACCGCAGGCTGGAAGACCTAAAAACTCTGTGGACGACCTGGGAGACCCAAGCCCTGAAACAGGGAACGAGGGGAACCAGATCAACCCAAAGCGCATCCCCAGACACAGTACGCAGGTAACAGCAAAAAGGCTCAACCGGACAACACAGGACGCACCCTTGGCCGAACCAATCGAGCATCAATAACCCAAGGAACCCCCCGGTAGGCAGCCGTCTCGACCGTTGCCAGAATGACGAAGAAAGGCTGCAAATGTACAAACCTACCGCCAGTACCAAAGAGCAGAAACCTGAACCGAAGGGGCTACCACAAACTGAGGAGAAGATAAGAGGACACCCTGATCAAGGACCAGGACAGCTCAGGCGACGCATGAGCAGGCCGGAGGTGAAACAAAACACGAGAAAGCGTACAAAACGGGGCAGATGTGACGTCCACCCCGAACGCAAGCCGGAGCGTCTCCGCCAGCGCCGCACAAAATGATGGCGACAGTAAGAAACATCAAATAACTGTAGTCCTGAAAACCAAAGAAAGAACAAGACAACCCGATGCGGAAGAGAAGATAACCTACGAAGAGCAAGAAAAAGGTGCATAGAAATACCAGGAACATCATACTGTCGCCAAGACGAAGCTCGCAGGTGGGACACCATCAACAAAGCCACCTGATCACCACAGAGATGGTGATACCCGCGTCAAAATACCAGACACGAAGAGCCGAGGAGAAGGCCGGACCAGTCACATACAGGACCGGTCTGACCTGCCGAAAGAGACGGAGCCGCGGGAAAATGCCCCAGGTTCGGACACCTTACAAGCATCGTCTGAAAATATAGCTGGGCCGGCCACCAAGGGACCATGAGGACTACTCTCTAGGGAATGGGCTCCAACCGAGCCAGAACCCGAAGCAACAGCTGGACTGGGAGAAGAGGAACAGGTACCCCCACCTCGACCAGTCCTGCCGAAGGGACCAGCGCCAGAACCTGGCCCCTTCAGAGAGGTTTCAGGGAGCAATGGCCCTGGAGCAAAACCCCCTTGTGGTTGGGGTTTTCCTTATCTGCCATCGACCGGGGTTAGGCACCCAGAAAGGTAGGCATAACAAAACAAACCCCCACATGGTAAAAAACTAAAACAAAAAACCAAACAGAGAGGTAGAAACTCCCTACAATCCCAAGGAAACGAGCAAACAAGCAAACATCACACTTTACTGCCACACCGATCGTCTGCGCAGCCCTCCCCACCCTGGACCTCACTGCGCCGGTTGCCTAGCATCAGTTCGTAAGCTAATGTCAACCGGGATAGACGCTTCTCTGGTGAGATTTGCGATTTAAATTTTTGTATTCTTGATTTTTGTGTAATATCTAAAAAGGGCAAGAATTGAAAATAAACAGGGCATGGGAAACTTGAGACAAAGACAACAGAATGAAATATATCAACATGGAGAAGAGAAGAGTGTTGAGGGTGGTACAGTCTAGAGTAAAAGATATCACCATGGGCAATTTGATTTCTCTCCATGCCCATTATTCCTTTCCCACAAAATTATTTTTCTATAGGCAATTCTCTCTCTCTCCTAGGACCTGGTAAATAGTCCTTCATTTTAAACTTTGTATTAACATAGTTTAAGCTTCTATCCAGCTTTGTCCCCCTACCATATACAATGTGTTGTCTATACTCTCTCCAAGCATCTTCTCACACTCACTTGTGGAAAAAGGTGACACCCCTAGGGTCAACACTTGCAGCAGAGGAGCTCCAGCATATTTCAACAATCCTAAGTATTGTAGTACAGGTTGATGGTAGTGAGTGGTGTCCCAGAGAACATAAAGGTATAGTGCTCTTGAAAAATAGGTGAGATAACAGGAAAGTGCTAAGGGAAGTGAAAAATCGGATGAGAAAAAGTTGCACTAGTGTTTACAGTGCAGAGAAGAACATTCAAGATGGCCACTGGCAAGGGGAAAAACAAAACAGAGCTTGATTTTGAGGGATTCAATGAAGAAAGCATTGATATTAGCAGTCTACATAACAAGTTGGTAAATTTAGATACTATAGTGAACTCTCATGTAGAAATAATTAGTAAATTGAAAGAAAGTAATGACCATTTGAATAGCAAAGTTTTATGTCTTGAGGGTTTAGTGAAAGACTTGCGCAAGGATA